CCCCCCCCCTACCTCAGTGCCCGCTTCTCGCTCCTCCCGTTTGCTGATTGTCTATGCTCGACCGGACTTACGGCAGCCATGCGTTCGGCGAGACCCTGCCGCCCGAGGAACAAATCTGGATTGCCGAGGAGGTTGACAGGCACATTCAGGCGTGTCTGAGGGTGATGGTCGGGGGGGGGGACAGCGGATAACTACGCCGTCGATGTTTCAGATGAACCTTATGGCGAGCTACCTTGAGTCTCGTTGTGGCTCTTATAGTTTTGTAGCGACGAGTGAATGTATATGAACGTCCTGCTGTAGTCCTTGGAGCTTGATTTTATATGGGTGGAGGGAAATGCCTCACTCACCACGGTACCCTGTTTTCTTTGATACGGGGCTTTTCAAAGAAATACCGACTGTTAGAGAGGGGCCAAGAAAGGGGAATATCCCTCGATACCTTGCAAGGTGCGGTAGGTGAACGAATAGAAGATGCATGTTATAGATGCTTGCTTCGGTGGAGCTGCCGTAAATGAATGGAGGGGTCCCGGCTTGCGCACGATGGGGGTTACAGACAAAGTGAATACGCGAATGTCGCGTGGCGGGTTCGGCGTTGGACATTGTAGACAGGATGCTGCTGCCGCCATGTAATATAGATATAGTACGGTAGAGATCCCTTGTACGTGGAGGGTTATTGCACAAGTCTGAGCGTCCGGCATAGTTTGGGTGAAAAGTGGCTCGAGCATTAATAGACCATCAATGTGAGCCACACTGCACAGGGACCTCCACTGTAACGTATGACTCTCTACTTGTCATGGAATACTACTGCTTTTATCGTGTGATTGAGTCATGGAGCAGGAATCTCCCCCCCACTTCATATAATCTGCTCTCCCGCTGCTGCTGTGCAGAACAACGTGGTGGCGGAATCATGATGTGTCCATGACATGTACATTTCGGAATGAGGTATGCCGTGGTTATAGAACATGGTTTGATAATCGTGCGCAAGGTACTCCATAGAAAAGCATGAAACAACGGGCGAGTGTGGTTGGATTTGTAGCCTATTTTGGTTGCGCATCAAAGTGCCATCCATCCATACCGATGCACATGAATAGGTTTCGTGCGAAGATGAAAAACGCGACCCTCGAAAACTATTTCGGTCGCTCTTCTTTTATCCTTGACGCGCGCACCTCTTCCTCCCGTTCAATGCCGTCGGCCCACTGTCTTGAATAACCTACAGCCTTTGCTTTGTAGTCTGCCCCTCGATGGGGTACGTATGGGCGTAGAACGGGCAGAAGTACAAAAAACTCGCCTTGGAGCTACTCACGACATGACAAGCCACAGCTTTCCCCGCGACGAAGAAGGCACGCAGTCTGAGTTAAGATTGGTGGGAAGTAACTTGCGTGGAACTACGGAGTCAACACATAGCGCGGGTAGGCTAAACACCGCAGATGTACCAACGCACGCTTCGTTGTGAATACTCAAACTTACCGTCACCTTTCGAGTCAATCCGACCACTGAACAATATCCTCTCTGGTATCCAACCGCGAACAGCTCGCACCAAGCACCAACACGAACTTTTGAACTGGTCGTCATCGCAACAAAAGAGGCAAAAAAAAAAGGATTGCACGCCAACAACACCATATAGTCTACACACCTCCCGTAGACTACAGGAATGTTCACGACATACATGCAAGAGATATTGTATCAAGCAACCACTCAACGAACGCACGGGCGCTACGGACATCTCTGAGATATTGCTTCTACGAGACAGACAAGTCGAAGGGCAAGAAAAGGGGGAATGGGACTGGGGCGAACGAAACGCCAGGCTGACCAAGAACCGAACGCGCGTGTCACACAAGAAGCAAGCACCCGACCACATTAAGTCGCTATCACCCCAAGTAGATCTGCGACGAGCCTCGCCGCCGCAAGCTTCCTCGATTTTTTTTTCCCGCTCATCGCCTCCCCCGAGGCGTGAACCTCGCGCAACGCCGACTTGTACGAAAGGGTGCACACCCACAAGCGACTCGACGGATCCTGTTCAAATGTCTTCGTGACAACCCCCATCGTCTTCTCTGAGAAACGATCTACTGCACTCAGCACTCCAGACGGTGGGATCGGCATCCCGTTCGGAGACACCCCCACCCCCAGTCCGTGCTTGTCCTGCACATCTAGGAGTACGGCACGTGCTCCGCGTTCATATGACCGCAGCGCGGCCAAACCATCGTCGCCGAAGTTCGTAGTGGAAGAGTTATCGATGCCGCTCGGCACGCTTGACTCGCTGTTCACGTTCGCGTCCGGCGTCTGCCGTCCGGTTATGCCGTCCTCTTCCGGCATGTCCGGCATGGCCCCCGCCGCACTACCACCACGGTCCAGCTCGTTCGTGCCCGTCGCGCTGATAAGGCTCGCGACTAGCCTCGCCGCCGCAAGCTTTCTCGCCACCTTCTTCCCGCTCACCGCCTCCCCAGTGGCGTGAACCTCGCGTAACGCTGACTTGTACGACAGGGTGCATGCCCATAAGCGGCTCGTAGAGCCCTGGTTGAATGTCTCCGTGACAACCCCCATCGTGTTTTCTGAGAAAGAATGTAATGCACTCAGCACCCCAGGTGGTGGGATTGGCGTCCCGTTCGGAGACACCCCCACCCCCAGCCCATGCTTGTTCTGCACGTCTAGGAGCACGCCACGTGCTCCTCCTTCAAACGACCGCAACGCGGCCGAACCGCCGTCGCCATAACTGGAAGTGGAAGAGTTTACCGTGCCCCTCGGCACGCTTGACTCGCTATCAACGTTCGTGTCGGGTGACTGCCGTCCGGTCATGCCGTCCTCTTCCGGCATGTCCGGCATGGCCCCCGCCGCACTACCACCACGGTCCAGCTCGTTCGTGCCCGTCGCGCTGATAAGGCTCGCGACTAGCCTCGCCGCCGCAAGCTTTCTCGCCACCTTCTTCCCGCTCACCGCCTCCCCAGTGGCGTGAACCTCGCGTAACGCTGACTTGTACGATAGGGTGCATGCCCATAAGCGGCTCGTAGAGTCCTGGTTGAATGTCTCCGTGACAACCCCCATCGTGTTTTCTGAGAAAGAATGTAATGCACTCAGCACCCCAGGTGGTGGGATTGGCGTCCCGTTCGGAGACACCCCCACCCCCAGCCCATGCTTGTTCTGCACGTCTAGGAGCACGCCACGTGCTCCTCCTTCAAACGACCGCAACGCGGCCGAACCGCCGTCGCCATAACTGGAAGTGGAAGAGTTTACCGTGCCCCTCGGCACGCTTGACTCGCTATCAACGTTCGTGTCGGGTGACTGCCGTCCGGTCATGCCGTCCTCTTCCGGCATGTCCGGCATGGCCCCCGCCGCACTACCACCACGGTCCAGCTCGTTCGTGCCCGTCGCGCTGATAAGGCTCGCGACTAGCCTCGCCGCCGCAAGCTTTCTCGCCACCTTCTTCCCGCTCACCGCCTCCCCAGTGGCGTGAACCTCGCGTAACGCTGACTTGTACGATAGGGTGCATGCCCATAAGCGGCTCGTAGAGTCCTGGTTGAATGTCTCCGTGACAACCCCCATTGTCTTCTCTACGAAAAGATCTGCCGCGCTCAGCACACCCGGTGGTGGGATTGGCGTCCCGTTCGGAGACACCCCCACCCCCAGCCCATGCTTGTCCTGCACGTCTAGGAGCACGCCACGTGCTCCGTGTTCAAGGAGCTCAAGAAACTCCTGTGCAGCCAAACTACCGTCGACGTCGCCGCTAGGAGTCAAGCCTGGGCCGCACCCCTCGCTCGCTGGCTCTGCAGGAAGCGGATGCCGACCGGCAGGCTCGTTGGTTGTGTCTGCACTGCTGCTGCTGCTGCTGCTGCTGCTGCTTGTCGAGGAAAACTGTTACAACGTAGTCAGGCACAGTTTACCATAGGTGCGACTGCGGCAACTAGCCTTCCGTAGACATAACACAGAAAGAAGAGATGGTACTCAGCAGAGAACATGAGCACAGAGTTGTAGCGGAGATAATTTGGCAGGCGAGACTGTAGTTGTTTTATTGTTCCGAACCCCGAAATTCCGGTACTCGGGCCATTACTCCGGAGACCCTCGGAACCTGCTGTGTTTTTG